CCTTTAGACAGTTGTACTTTCCAGGTCCAGTCCACAGTCGACATGCAATGGCTGGAACACTGCTGCAGACGGGCTACACACAAAGGTGGAAATACAGAAGGAGATGTAACGTTAAACTTGGCCTGTCCTTGTCAATGCACGACAATCTGTGGGCCAGGCAGAATGATGTACATAGGGTTGGCGCTGTCTATTGGACGGAGAATCTCTGGGGCCTGTCCACCCACGTCGGGGGTCTCAGCAAGGCTGGGTTAGGTATACAGTCCCAGTACTCCTTTCCCTGAACCACAGGAACGCATACTGCAGCTGCTAGGAGGGCAAGCTTTGCAAGGAAAAGATTGTCAGGTGAAGAAACCGAGCCCTGGCTGTCGGCTAGGTGGCGGGCCGCACGACCGGTCTGCGGCAGGCCTTCGCAGGACGGTGGACGATGCGCTGTCAGGCTGTTGCTTCAGGTCTCGGCAGAGGGCTTGACGTGTTGCGCGGGTGGGTTGGACTCTGGCCTCACAACGGCTCTGCTGGTCGTAATGTCTCCCGATTTTCTGTGGAAATACAGGCATATCCTCGGCCCAATTTAACAGTGACGCTGTTGGAGGTCACACCCAGCAGGATTCAGAAAAGTTAGAGTATATGTAGTGAAGTTTTGGGCCTGTGTCCCCCTTTCTTTTGTTTAGCTAGCTGATTTTTAAGCTTAAGACAAGTGTGTTCCATTATTGTCTGACTTGGGGACTATAGGGATCCCTGTAACATGCTTTATATTCCCGTTATCAAGAAAACTTTGAAAATGTTTACTAATGTAAGTAGGACTGATGTCAGGTTTTATTGTTTGTGACACTCCTAAGTTAGCAAAGGCTGATACACAATGTTGTATGTCATGCTGACTTTGTTTACCTGAATGACAGCCAGCAGGGATCATATGTGAGCAGGTATCTATAGAGGCATGAATATACTTAGGTCCATTAAAAGGAGGATATATGGGTAATAGCCATTTGCCATACCCAGTTAGTTCTAAGACCTCTGGGATTGCAGCTCTGTTAGGAATAGGCCTAGGCGTGAGGTGACAGGTAGGACGTGAAATCATGGTTTGTCTAGTCTGTGCTCTGGTAATTTTAAATTCCTTTTGTAGAGATGTAGAACTGTGAGGAACAAATTCATAGGACTGTCTTGCTTCATCAAACACGGAAACCACGCTTCGCTGTGAAGATGGCGTCAGGCAGCGGGACAAAAAACTTGGACTTTTGCCGAAAGTGGGACAAAGGTGAATACGAGAAACTTGCTGAGAAGAGGCTCACAGAAGAGAGAGGAAAGAAGGATGCAAAACTGGTGCGGCCAGTCAAGCGGGAGCTTCTGCGGCACAGGGACTACGAGGTGGGCCCGGGATCCAAGCTTGGAACGACCACTGTCGTCACGAAGGCCACCCCACGCTCTGAGGTCACGAAGGCCACCCCACGCTCTGAGGTGCGCGGTGTCACTGCAGTGCGTGGCTGTGTGGGGAAGGACTCCATCACCTTCCTGGGTCACGTTAATGGAAAGAAACACCAGCGAAGCCTAGGCACGTCTGTGCGTGTGGAACGTTCTACCCTGGATCAGGCGAAGAAACCTGCTGAGGTCAAGCAAACAATGGAAGAGAAGCAGAAGGATTGTGATTTTGAGGGAAGGATGAAGGAACTCAGAGAAGAGGAGGAGAAGGCTAAAGCATACAAGAGAGAGAAACAGCAGGAAAAGGAGAGGAGGCTGAAGATCTGACACTGGAGGAGGAGGATGAGATGGCACTTTGACGGGTGTCTGTGGCTTTGGTTCCTCCGAGAGGAGGTCCCGAAGCTCCTCATCCTTGGCCTAACTTTGGCCGATGCTGGGCCTACCATTTTGTGTGTGTTGGGGAGGACAGGTTCATTTCTGAGCACCTGGTAAAGACCTTAGGAGTGTCAGTGCGCAGGAGGGGGGTGGGCTTGGTTTCCCTCTGTGTTGGGAGCGCACAGGACGTGGAGGTAATGCTGCGGCATTTCATTCAGTCCCAGTGTAGCGCTGCAGTCACAGGACCTTTGCCCGAGTTCCAGTAAAGACAGGCCTCCCCTCCTAAGGCTGCTTTCCCGAAACTCCCCCTGCCCCTTTGCCTTTGCATCTGCTCAGCCTCTTGCCCGAGCACCCTATCTTTAGTTTGTGTTCTGTTTTCATTTCGACTCCTATTCAGCCTGCAACACAAGGGCTAACTTCGTCCCGTTTCCGGTCGACGGCCTCCTTGATCAGCCCTTCCCTTCCCCATCCCGCCTCCTGGGTCTGTAGCCATGTGTGCACGTGCACTTCTGCCTGGATGAGTGGTGTGTGGGTACGTACGTGCGCGCGAACCTGTCACAAAGAGGGGTCCTGGGCTAGAACCTCAGGGCAGTGCTTCCCTGGGGCCTGGTGTTCTCGGTTCCCTCGGCGCACGTAACAGGAGATTAAATGGGATGAGTGTGGTGTGCTTTGTGTCCCGTGAGCTTTTAACATTGTTCTGCAGATGTGGGCTGTTTCAGCTTCTCCTGTTTGTTTCGTTTTACTGAGGGTTTCTTTGTTTTTGTCTTCCTTGTGAGCAGGTTCTTGGAAGAACCTGTTTGAAGCAAAAAATAAAATGAAAAAACACAAAATGCAAGCAAACAAACTCACTACGGGAGCCCCTAGGTCTCAGAGGCTGTTCAGAATGTGTAATAAACGGCAGTGACTGGCCTGTTTCACAAAAAAAAAAAGGGAACCAGATTTACAAGAGCGCCTGTATTTAGCCTGAACTGCACAGCGAGACCCTGCCTTACAAAGACCAAAAAAAAAAAAGAGCACCTGTATTATAATTACCTGACGACAACAGACCTGGGAGATTAGAATGAGATCTAATATGATCAATAAAGAATGGGGCAGTTCTACTTAATGTAGCCCCTAGCAATTTTATTTTATTTTTTGGGTACCAGGAATCAAACTCAGGACCTTATGCTTGCCTGGCAGGCGCTTGTGCTGCTGAGCTATATCCCTGGCCTGCTCCTAGCAACTTTAAAAACAGTTGCAATAAAGTAGACTTGAGATGACTCAATTGCAGTTGTTCTTCTACCAGTGGCTTTTTTTTTTTTTCATTTTTTTTCCCCCCGGTAACGGGAATCGAACTCATGACCTCGCACTTGCCAGGCAGGCGCTGTGCTGCTGAGCTAAATCCCCAGCCTCCTCTTCTACCAGTGTTGATAAAATCCTTAACGTTTCCTGCAGAGTACCAATGGCCTTCATTATAAATCCAATTTTAGATTTCATTTAATTAAAGGCACAATAGTAGGAGCTCAGCCCTGCAAGTTTTTACCCAAGCCTTTGTTTTGTGGATATCCCATCTCAGCCACCATCCTGCTAGCTGGGGACACACACCTCTGAGGCACAAAAGTAACTAAGAGAGTGTCCCATTCTTTCATGAGGTCTACGCCCTGTAGACTGACAGGAAGGGGTGCTATGAACTGTTACAACGCCGTCTGTCCATCATGGCCGACGTAAGGGTGTGGCAGTACCCTGTGAAACAGACCGAGGGGAGGCTAAGCCTATCAAAGCGGTGGAGGTGGGTCTGATCAGCCAAGCAGACAGCCAAGAGTGGCTATTTACTACGGTGACGTCAGCTCCTGTATCCATCAATCCAGTAAGAATTCCCATTAACTCGATGGGACAAGTAGGTCTATGCACTGAAATACCCCGGGCAAGGTCAGGTTCCTTGCTGAAAGGCTCGTCTCTTCCAGGTTCACACACGAGCTTCAGGGCAGGAGTGGAAATTTCAGTGGGAGTTGAATTTGCTGCTCTCCCCTAACAATTCAATGTGAGAGCTGGGTGTGGAGGCGCATGCCTGTAATGTCGGCACTCAGGAGCTGAGGCAGGAGGATCGCTGTGAGTTCAAGACCAGCCTGGGCCACAAAGTGAGCTCAAGGCCAGCTTCAATTGCATAGAGAGACCCTGTCTCAAAAAGACCAAAAAAAAATCAATGCGAGAAGCGGCTGGTAAACCCAGTTCTGCACCCCGATTGGCCCACTGTACCAGGGAAACAAGGGAAGCGGGATTTTGTGCACTCCCACCCCAGCACAGGGACTCGCGTCAATTTGGTTCGGACTGGATGCAACTGGCTTAACTGGGTCCGAATCATCAGAGTACTGACTGACCCGTCTTTTATTATTGTTACTGGGGCCCTCGGTTTGGGCACGTGGTTTCTTCCTCTTCAAGAGTGTGCCGCTTTGATGAAATTTAGACTTACAATCCTTTGTCCAGTGAAAACCTTTCATGCAACGGGGACACCGAGTACTGGGTAAATCTGCTGAGGGGGCTGGCGCCTTCGTCTGGGCTCACACAAGGGAACAAGGGTGGGGTGCTGGGTTGGGGAAACACACCCGCCACCTTCAGAGACTACCACCAGCACCTCCACTGGACCGACGTGCATTGCTCAGAGCCAACTGAAGGGATAAGGCAAGTCCCAGCCAGCTCTGCACACATCAACACACGGAAACAGGGTCAGGCTCGGCCAAAGTGGAGACAATTGTTCTCCTCCAAGGAGAGCCGCCCAGGTGTCCTCCACACCTTGGGACACTAAGGAGGAAGGAAACAGAAGCCACACGGCCAAATGATTTGATTTTGTGGTTTTTTGTTTTTGTTTTTTTGTACCAGGAATTGAACTTAGGACCTTGCACTTGCCAGGCAGGCGCTGTGCCGCTGAGCTAAATCTCTGGCCAAGCCGAATTATTTGAAAGGCTAACAGAGGAGATCAAAGAACAGATCAAGGAGACGCTCAGCAAGCTCAGAAGATATCACTGAGCAGACAATGGAGGTACTAAACAAAAACATCAGGCTTATAGACACTAATAAAGCTATCTGAGCTCAATAAAATGATGCAAAATATGAACGCTGAGATTAGCAAAGATCAGAGACCACAAAAAGGTTTCAAACAGAAACCCAGGAGATTAAAAATTATACAGATGGGGCTGGGGATTTAGCTCAGTGGCACAGCACCTGCCTGGCAAGCACAAGGTCATGAGTTCGATTCCTGGTACCAGAAAAAACAAAACAAAACAAAAAAATAAAAATAAAAATTATACGGAAAGCACGGGCAGCAGAAACAACCAATGTAAGGATGGAATAGCAGAGCTGGAAGACAGGGGTGCTTTCAAAGACCAGTTACTCAGGGAAACCTAAAAACAACAGGGAAAATGGAGCCAACAGCTGTGAGATGATGCAAAACTAGTCTAAGATTAACTGGAGTAAGTGAAAAATCAGAAGACAGCACAAGGGGGATAAAAAACTTGTTTACAGGGGTTGAGGATTTAGCTCAGCGGCAAAAGTGCCTGCCTGGCAAGCGCAAGGTCGTGAGTTCGGTTCCCGGTACTGGCAAAAAACCAAAAAAACCCCAAAAAAACAAAAAAAAAACTTGTTTACAGAAATAACAGCAAAGAACTTTCCAAATATAAAGGAAAGGGGGGCTGGGGATTTAGCTCAGCAGCACAGCGCCTGCATGACAAGCATGAGGTTGTGAGTTCAATTCCTGGTACCGGAAAAAAACCCAAAAACCCAAAACCAAATATAAGGGAAAAAACATAGATTAGTAGGGCATACAGAACCCCAACATAGTCAAAATCCCAGAAGTTCAACAAAGGGACAGAATCTTTTTTTTTTTTTTTTTTTTTTTTTGAGACAGGGTCTTACTATGCAGTTCAGGCTGGCCTTGAGCTCACTTTGCAGCCCAGGCTGGTCTTGAACTCACAGCAATCCTCCTGCCTCAGCCTCCCAAGTGCTGGGATTACAGGTGTGCGCCACCACGCCCGGCTTTGAGCAGCCTTCTGCAGTGTGGGCTGGTGTAAGTAGGGGAGCTGTTTTGAATAGGCGATCCAGTAGAAATCACCCTGCTTTGTCTGGGGCTGATGGGCTTCTGGCACCTGGACCTTCCCACTCTAGAACTGGTTCAGCCCCGGCAAACCAGGGCAGTTGCGCACCTCCTTCGAATGTGTCAGCCATGCCTTTGGGCCCCCTCCCTGTATCCACATGTAAGTGCTAAAGTCACACCTGGTCCGTGTTGAGGCCCCCGAGTACAGATTCAAGGACCGAGATGTCCGGCATGCGCAGTATAGAAAGTAAGCTATACGGTTATGATACACTGCTGGGAGGAGGCACAGCAGACTGCTTCAAAGCCGGGGGTGTCTGAGGACGCGGAAGGCGGGCCCCTTGCTGTCCAGCGCAGGTGCACAACGGGAACACTTGCAAACAGAGGACTCAGTGTAGACCGCCGCGCGGGCGCCCCGCGGTGAGGCCGGCACGCAGGAGGCTAAGCTCCATGAGCGCCGGACACCAGCCCAACGCTGAAGACGCGCGCCGCCGTTGCTGACGTCAGCTCCACGAGCCTCCTTGCCCTGGGGAACTCACCACAGAGATACCCAGCCGCCCCCTGCCCTGACAACTGTCCTCAAATACAGAAAACATTCGTGAGAAAAACTTAAGACTACAGGAGTATGGATCATTTACGGATATTTGGTAAAATGTCTGTAATATTACCAAGTCACTTCAGTAGTTACAAAATAACTGTATTTAAAAATTTTTTAAAATCCTACATAAAAGTGCCAGATAATCTCTTAAAAGTGAAATTTCTTGTAACATCCTTATTTCTGCCTAGTCAAAGCGTTATTTTCCATTTCTACTGAAGCAGAAATCCTGACCCAACTGCAGCCACTGTGTCCACTAAAGCCGCCGCCGTTCTCTTCCCTGGCGCTGAACTCAGCTATATCACAGGATCTGCTTTCAAATTAAAACATCTAAAACAAAAACCAAAAAGACTTCTGGGGCCGGGGATATAGCTCAGCAGCACAAGTGCCTCCCTGGCAAGCACAGGGTCCTGAGGTCGATTGCTGCTATCAAAAAAAAAAAACTTCTGTGAATGTGCTAAAAACAACTTTGCTACATACAGCTGTGCTCACCACAAGAGACCTATTGTATCGTAACCTTCAGCTAAAAGCTTATCTCATTCTTGTAACTTGTCTGCCACCTATAAATAAGGTAAGCGCTCTGTAATCAACACCTCAGACTTTGGAGATACCCCTCTGGGGTCTGCTAGCCTGCTCCGTGCAAAGGCATCACCCAGGGTGATGGCAGGCGTGGGTTCCAGGGTGAAGTCAACACAGCTGAGTTTAAGCTGTTGCCCTGAGCACGTACTCTGGATACTGGAAGGCAGAAGAGCCTCACCTTCCTTTACTTGCTTGTACCCCTCTCTGGGCGGATAGAAGGCCAGAGCCCCCGGCTGCCTGCCCGCTGCACTGACCCGGTGTTACACTACGATTGCTGTGAGCTCACTGAAAGATTTATGCCTGTATTGCTTGATCAGTTTTTTATGCCTGTATCTTGTGATATGAGCAACTACTTTTTTTTTTTGTCTTTTTGAGACAGTCTTGCCATGCAGTTCAAGCTGGCCTTGGAGCAGTACTTTGACAATAACAATACGTAGTGTACTAACCACGTTACTCTCCTGCAAGCTTGATTTGAATTTTATATTTGAATTTTATACCATTATTTCCCACCTTTGACCCGCCTCACCTCATGGTTTTGCTATAAAATTCCCTTGAA